GGTTTCACATTTAAGTCTTTGATCCATCTGGAGTTTGTTTTTGTGTGTGGTGTGAGGTACAGATCTTGTTTCATTTTTCTGCACATTAGGCCTGAGGTTTTGAAGAGCTCTGGATACAAGAACACAGGAAAACAAGTACTCTCTGGGCATCTGCTTCCCCGATCTCTATTTGCCTAACTCTTCCTCCTGAGAAGCCTCAAAAAGGCTTTGGAATTGAGAAATTACCTCAGTCAGGGTAAACAAAGACTGCATAATCAGTACCTGAGAGATCTCCAGTGATGGAAGAGGTTCCAAAGTAGTAGCCTCGGGGCAGACGGACCCCAGGCACCTCAATGCAATCCCTCCACTCATGCTTGCCATCGATGTCAATCATTATCTAGAATAAAAAAGAAGAGATAAATCATGGTAAGTCCACAAGAATAGGAGCGAGAACACCACCAATCAACAAGTCCAAGATGAGGACTTACCGTCAAATGCCTCTTGACATAGCGAATCACAAGGAAGGTGTCATAATGGAGATTGCGGACAATGGCTGTACAGCCCCCCAACTCTGTAGGTCGCCCATCCCGCTCATGATCATAGCTGAGGGAGCCATTGTTCACCATAGCTGAGATGTAGGGGAATACCCGCTAGAGAAGCAGGGAGGGAAAAGCAGAGGACAATAAGGAAGAGCTCTTAGGAATACCTGTACAAACAGCACTAGGAATTTTGCACATACAAGCTGAGCCCCTTACAGCAAACCAGACAACTACTCTGCCTTATTATTAGCAGCCCCCTAAGACCTTATATTCAGATGGCCAATAAGGGATACTGGCCTAGAAAGGGATTGAACTTTGTACTTGCCTTCAGTAGCTCTCCTTGCTCCCAGTCTGAGGTGGGCCTGAAATGGCACCTCTAAGATTCTGAAGTCTGGCGTATACCTTTCTTAGAGATCACCTTTGGCACTTACATACTGCCCAAGGCTGGTGGTTTTCTTTTTACATATGTATACATATCTCCTCCCCTACCACAAAAGCTTCTTAAAGAAAAAAATCATTCATCGTGGTATTTTGCGTGTCTCCAAGCCAGTCCCTTCCCTTCCCCCACCTCCCCTCCACCCAAGGTCAGTGCTTTGCACACAGCAGGTATTCTGAAATGCCCATTTGCATATTTCCATTCAGAATAGCTCCTTTCAAATTCTAAAACACTATGAGCAATGTGATGCTAAATGGATTAGGACTCAGAAAAAGCACTGCCAAAACCTGGCTGCAGATGGTGTTATCCAGTCATGATGACTGTTCTTAGTCAAAAACCCTTCAGCCCACTTAAACCTCATCACACATAAAACCAGTTGCCATTGCATCTATTCTGACTCATGGTGACCCCATGTGTGTCGGAGCAGAACTGTGCTCCTTAGGATTTTCAATGGCTGGTTTTTTGGAAGATGATCACAAGTCTTTCTTCTGATGCACCTCTGGGTGGCCTCAAACCTCCAACCTTTTGGTTCGCAGCCAAGCGAGTATGTTAACCATTTCTACCACCCAAGGGCTCCATCCACACATAACCTCTCCCAATAACTCCTCAGGGGAAGGGTCTCCCAACACAAGGAGAAAATGAAAGTTTCCCTGTGTCCCACCCATTCTCCCCTTCTACTTCAGAGTTCCTCTCTTTCCAATAGAGTTGTAGAAGCAAATTCTCCCTTAGAAATGATGAGCTAACCATTCCAGAACAAGCCCAGTGCTAAGGCAGTGCAGAGGCAGGGTGATCAAAGGAGAGGGTAACATGAGGCATGCTACTTTTCTGGTGAGCTTCCCATTGTCCTACACAGTCAACATGCAAGGTGGAGATGCAGTCGAGATCAGAGACTGGTGACTCTTGAGACAACAGCCACACAGATACCAAACAGCAGCAAATGTTGAGTGGACACATATGGGAATGAGAGATGGCTATGGTTGGTCAAGAATTGAGTACCTGGATGCCAGGAGAATATCGCCTCTTCTGGGCCTGAGGGGTCCAGCAGGTTATTATAGAAACAAGAGAGGGCACAGAAGACAGGAGATCAAGTGAGAAAGAAACAACCATAAGAGAGCTATGACCCAGCTGTGAGGGATGAGCAAACCAACCTAAATCCCCAACCAGGATTTTAGAGTCCATGGAAAGCATTCAGCAGGTCCTCACTCCCCTACATTATATGCAAAATTGCGTGCACAGGTGCTTGTACATTTTTCTGAGGAGAAGGTCTGTTAGTGTCATCAGATTCTCAAAGGAGTCCACTAGGAAGACTTCTCTAACCTAGGGAGGGCCCTGAAGCTTGCAGAAGGTGCCCTATTAAAACACACAGCATCACACTGTCCAGGCAGAGCCCCCTATGTCTCTGGGAGTCGGAAGATCAGGCCACAGATTTATCTGTATCCAGACTACAGTACTTCTACAGCAAGGGATGAAATGGGAGAGACAAATAGGGCTCAATTCTTCCAAATTCAAGATGTCATTTACTGAGCTCTTGCCAGAAGACAGAAATCTCACCATTCAAGAGACTGTGAAATTAATCTGAAGGGATCATTTATCCTCTAATTGAGCCTTATGGACATATACTTCCAAATGACCGCTGTCAGTCTAACCCACAGTACAAGGACAAGGAAGAAGTTCCATGAGAGCACTGCAGCACAGCAGCTTTAAAAAATCTTCCTTAGGCAGGAGGTATTTAGCTTTGCTCCAGAAAACTGTCACAGTTCTAAGTTACTAGCAACTAGGGTTGTCTATACAAGCTCAGCTCAGCCTTGCCCTATGGGAAAGGTGGGTTAAGGTGGAGAGCCCAAAGCATTCCTCTAATACTTAGTTAGCACCTATGACAAGCTAGGCATGTTACAGATGCTGGGAATTCGATGGGAGACAAGACAGGCAAGGTGTCTGCTCTCACTGAGCTGACATTCTAGTGGAAGAGTCGAGCAATAAACAAGAAAAGTATTTCAGATAGTGATAATGAAAACACGTAATACAATAAAGACTGATGAGGAACTATGTCTCTGAAGAAGCAACATCTGAGCTGAGACCCAGTAACTAGAGGGAGTTCTCCAAAATAGCATATGAGCCCAAAATGGGAGCATATTCAAGGAACTAAAAAGATGGGGTGTCTGAAACACAGCTAGTGAGAAGAGCATGGTGTGAGTGGAGGGTACAGAGATAGAAAGAAACTAGATCACGTAGGGCCTTACAGACCACAGTAAGGAGTTTGAGGTAGGCCTCAGAACATCTCTGGTAGAATATATAGAGAGGTATGAAATCAATCAGGGGATAACTGTTGTTGTTGGGTGCTATAGAGTCAATTCTGACTCACAGTGACCCTACGCATAACAGAATGAAACAATGCCTATTAGTGGGTGATTAAATTATCACAAAACAACTTACAATTATCACTTAGAATAAGGAATTCTACGTTACCAAGCTATTTACAGAAATGAGCTTCTGATCAGAATGCCCCTAATTTCAGTGAACAATTAAAGAAGGGAATAAAAATGATCTGTGTAGCTCTGATGATTCCAAGCCTTGTTTCATTTGTCACCCCCAGTCCTGTGATCAGAACTTTAAACTATAACTTTAGAAAGGACCTACAATAACTATCCTTAACCTATGGGTGCTTTACTTTACAAAGGCTGGCACGGCATCTGATTTTCTGGTAATAGCCAGGCTGGAGGTTGGCTGGACCTCAGAATCACCTGAGAGCTTTTCAATGGCAAAGATAAGTGGTTCTTTACCCACAGAGTCTCACTCAGTAGATCTAAGGTAGGGCCCTGGATTATGTATTTTTTAAAAAGCACTTCAGATGATTGTGCTGTGCAGCCAAATTTAAGAAACACTGCACTAGGCACAGAGCCTCATGGCTATGTAACTTAAACTTCTCAATGTCAGCAATTCATGACCGGGCCTTCAACTTTTAAACCACACATTAGTAGTAAGTCTTTAAATACTATCTTATTTTCTTTGCCCAGTCAGGAGTTCTTCAAGTGTTTCTTAGGTCACCACTAATTTCACACAGCAGCAAATTTTCTTTCCCTGGAAAGCAGCTGGAACCACAGGCTGAAGAATCACACTGACTCAGTAAGATAAGTTATTTCATTCCTAATATGAATCACCAGATGAGTAACCCCTGCCAATTGTCCAAATAATTGTTGTCTGTAAGATGAAGAAATGTTTTCAACTTTTTATACCACAAGACCACTTTCAAAAAAAGAAAGACACTCTACATGATAAGTTTACCTCCAGCAAAGCTTGATTGAAAAAGAGACATATAAGTTTGTGGATTTATTAATTCTATGCTGAAATTCCACCGGCCCGGAGCACACTGGTTGTGGACCTCTAGCCAGAAAAAAAGAACACACATGGTATCTGCACAGATGTCAGTTCTAACTGTGTTATACCCCATTTATAGCTGTCTAATCTTGGGTGGAGAGCTCTGGTGGCATAGTGCCTAAGGCACTTTATTGCTAACCAGAAGGCTGGAGGTTCAAACCCACCAGTCACTCCTCGGAAGGAAGATGGGGCAAACTACTTTCGTAGTGATACTGCCTCAGAAACCCAAGGAGGTGTTGCTATGAGTCGGGTTCGACTTGACGGCACATAACAACAATAATCTTGGGTGATATATATCGTTTCTTTGATCTTGCATTTCCTCATTGTAGACAGAATAATACACAGCTCACAGGGTTGATTATAAAGATGAAATGAAATGAGATATGCAAAGCATGTACTACAGAATCTGGCCGTCAGGAGGGAGTCAATAAACGTTTGTTCAGTGAGTAACTAATTAATCAATATCTAAACCAAAAAAACCCACTGCCATCAAGTCAATTCCAACTCATAATGACCCCCATTGGGTTTCCAAGGCAGTAAATCTTTACAGAAGTAAATTGTCCATTGTCCTTCCACAGAGCAGCTGGTGCATTCGAACTGCCAACCTTCTGATTAGCAGTCAAATGCCTTATGTACTGTGCCATCAGAGCTCCTTCATCATACCTAGGTACAAGTAATGTTGACAGGTACTTATATATAAGCATAATGCCAAACATATATCCATTAGAACAGTAATTCTAAGACTACCGATTGCTGTGGACCAGTAAAATTTCTAAAAATATTTGGGAATTAACGTTGTTGTTGTTGTCATGTGCCGTTGAGTTGGACCTGACTCATAGTGACCCCTCCTTGGGTTTCCAAGGCAGTATCACTATGGAAGTAGATTGTCCCATCTTCCTTCTGAGGAGTGTTTGGTGGGTTTGAACCGGCAGCCTTCTGGTTAGCAGTCAAGTGACTTAAGCACTATGCTACCAGAGCTTTCCCTGGGAATTAATAGGGTTGTCGATTACTATTACTTTATGTATTAATTTCTGCCAATTAAATACATTAAAACATAATCATGAAAAAACACCCATCTATTACATTATGTCAGGAGCTCTGGTAGTGCAGTGCCTAAGGCGCTTGACTGCTAACCAGAAGGCTGGAGGTTCAAACCCACCAGCCACTCCTTGGAAGGAAGATGGGCAATCTACTTCCGCAGTGATATTGCCTCGGAAACCCAAGGAGGGGTCGCTATGAGTCGGGTCCAACTTGATGGCACATAACAACATACATTATGTCTAGGAGCTCTGGTGGTGTA